GATCTGGTATGGGATACATCACAGTAATGACCACTGGCAAAACAAGCTGCATCACTGCCAGCACTGCAGCATTCTAAACATTTGCTAAAATATGTCAGCAGACCTTGGGGAGCAGAGTGGAGCCCACTCATTCTCAAACAACATAAGCACCACAAACCTCAGCCAGCACTGCTGCACCCAGCAACCTGAAATCACCCTGTGGAACTGCATCCACGTGGATGCAGAACCCGACTGCTTCCACTTTCTTTCGTGGATCACTGTCCACACAGACGGGCAGGGAGATCCCAAATCCTCCCGGCACAAGCAGGGCTGGAATCAGCACCGCCTGCTCGGCTGTTTCTAAACAAACACGGAGCTGCTGCTGGGCTGGGCTGAGTGTGAGCCCAGCCTTGCACAGAGCTCCCAGAGCTTCAGTGTCCCACGGGCTTCTCCCCCAGCTGGGCACAGCAAACCCAGCACCGAGCTGGCACTTCTGGCCAGGCTCGGGAAGGGAGCAGGGAAAACCAGGAATCGACCAGGGCTACCGAAGTTTAGAACTGCCATAGTTGTACGATTAGGGAATTCATTCCACTCACGTTACTGGGGAAGGGGGGTGAGGAGACACGAGGAGATGTATTTATACAACAGAATTCTGAAGACTGAGTACTTGCCTCGTGTCCTCCTTCCTTCTCCTTCCCACGCAAGTACGAGTGCTGCTCGATGGCATCCAGCACCTACAGCAAACCATTTCTGGGTGTCATTAAAAGGACAGAGACATCTGCTCGCACCGCACCGACGTCATTGCTTCCAACTCCGCTCAGAGCCGACAGGAACGCAGCTCCCTCTTCTTTCTCGGGATTCACGGGCTCGCACGGATCCCGGGGCGATCCCGGGCTGATCCCGGGGCAGCGCCGCTCTCCGAGCCCTGCCCGGCCCCAGGTGGAGGCAGCGCCCGCTCTCCCTGCGCTCCCCACGCTCCTACCGGGGCGTTCCCGTCCGCTCGGGGCTGCTCTGCCGGAGCTCCCACTTGCAGAGAGCGCCCGGGGACAGCTCCCGGCACACGGCAGCGAGGGAAGGCACGGAGGGAGAAGGGAAGCGAAGGGAGAAGGGAAGGGAGGAGCGGCTGTTCGCGGTGCCCCAGCACGGGTGCGGGGCTGTTGCCCCGTCCTGGCTCTCTCAGACCCCACAGCCCGCACTCAGAGCCCCACGGGAGCTGCCCCGGCCCCGAGCAGCCCCTGCCGAGAGACACCCGGGACACCGAGCCCCGCAAAGTGCCTTAACCAGCCCCGAACGCCGAGAAGCGCCGGTATCAGCCCCGACCGCGCTGCCAGCCCCAGCGCTGCCCGCTGCCCTCCGCGCCCCGCCGCGACCCGCCTGTCAGCGGCGCCGCTCCCTCTGCCGGTGCCTCACCTGGTGCCGGCCGGCGGCAGCGGGCCACGTCCGCGGGGCCCGGGCGGGGAGCAACGAGGAGGAGGAGGAGGAGAAGGAGGAGAAGGGGACGGAGCGTGTCCGCCGGGCCGTGCCCGTCACCGCCGCTTCCTGCCTGGCCCCGCTCGGCGCTCGGCTGCGCCGCCTGGCAGCTCGGGCCGGGCCGCTGAGCGGCGCCGCCTCACCGAGCCATCGGCGCTCGATTGAAGCGCCTGCGCGGTGCCGCGGAGGGAGCGGGCTCCGAGGGAGGGCAATGGCGCGAGCGCCGTGAGGGGCACGGAGGGAGCTGGGGCTGTGGCTGTTCGTGCCGGGGCTCAGCTGTGTGTGAGGGGTCTTAGGACCTATAGTGGTCTCAGGTGTGTGCGGGGCTGGTTGGCCCATAGCAGGTGTGTGTGTGAGGGCTTATGGACCCATAGTGGTTTCAGGGGCTATGGAAACCTCAGGTGTGTGCCGGCATGCTGCGGTCTGCAGTGGTCTCAGTATGGTGAACGGATGTCAGGTGTGCATGTGGAGGGGTGTCAGGGCCCATAATTAGTTCAAAAGTGTTTGTCTGCAATGTAAGGGTCTGTAGTGCTCTCAGGTGTGGGCGGTGTTGGGGCTCACAACCACCTCCTGGAACAGCAGCCCAGTAAAAAGGCAGCTCTGGGTCTTCAGTCCGTGCTGGAAGTGTTGGGGGAGCCCTGACAGGACTGTGTGTCCTGTGGGTGGAAGAGGACCCTCTACCCAAAAGGAGCAGCTGGGATTTGGCAGCAAAGCCCCAAAGGAAAAGGAGCTGTAGCAGGGGTTGAGAGCTGTGTTAGGAATTGCTCAGAGCAGAGGCAGGGTAAGGTGAGTTCATGCTGTTTCTGCCACACTTGGTGGCCTCTGAACCTTAACACTTCTTGGTTGTAGAGACTTATTTGACAGGCAGGGTTAATTACTTCATTTTTCTAAATAAAACTGAAGGAGCAGAGCTTTATCTGCCAATACTTCATGCAGCCTCATTCTGCCAACTCGCTCCTGACAGCTGTTCCCCTTCTTGGGCTTCTAGAATCATCCTCAGCTGTGTGAAACCACAGGTACAGAAACCTGAGAACCCGGAGTCCCCGATGAGGGGTGTTGGTGTGTCCTGTGCTCAGAGGCCAAGGTACAATACAGCTCTTCTCAATGTAGTTGAGTAATTTCACACAATGAGTTTCCTGTTTATAAGCTGAGCTCCAGAACCCTTTTCTCCCCCCTCTTTCTTACGAGTGGAAAGAAGAGCAGAGTGAGCACGGCTCATCTGTCAGCAGCCCTGTGAAAAGCTGGTGCTGAGCAAGCAGGAGGCAGCGATCTCTCCCCAAACTGAGCGAGAACAAAGCACTGAGCGAGTTGTGAGGAGAACAACAGCTCCGATAGAAGCAGGAGCCAACAACAACAGCTCGACAGGGAACTTTACACTTTCCCTGACAGCTCCTTGGGGCGGAGACAGTTAAGTTTCTGCGTTTGTAAGGGAAACATGGCATTCCTTAAAGCTGAGCCTCCTCCCTCGGGTTCCCACTGAATGCCTGAGAGATGACAGCAGAGGGTGTCTCCAGCAGGCTCCTATTAAACAGGAGGCATTAGCACGCAGGGAGCCGCAGCTTTGATATCCCGGTTTTGACCACAGAACGAGCTAAAGTTTTGCAGGTTTTTTTACCCACTGGCTCCTGCTCAGGGGGTTCCTGTGCCCTGTGCTGGTGCCGGCACCTGCCCGATGTGGAAGGGCTGTGCTGGGAGGGCACTCAGCTCCGAGCAGGGCGTGCTGAGGCAGCACTGACCATCCTGGGGAGGGCTGCTGAGGCTCAGGCACACTCAGAACTGGTTTGGTGTCCCCAGCAGCACAAACCCGGCTGGCAGGGGAGCCTGTGAGCCGAGTGCGCGGACAGATGGAACAGATACAGGCAGGAAATGGGGGAGAAAGGGGAAACGCTGGTGTTTGTAAAGCTCCGAGGGGGCTCTGGTTAGTTCTTGAGTCCTGCAGTCCCGTTTCTATTTTTAGCAGAGTGTCTGGATGGCTTTGGGAGGGAGTGCTTTAGGAGCTCCAGGCAGGTGTGAGCGTGGGGAGAGCACAAACCCCTGGGCACCAGGAGCTCATGCGATGTGGCACCGCCACCACGCCCTTTCCTGTTCACCCCGGGGCCGCGGGCAGCCGTGCCAGCCGCCCTGCCTGAGTGGGGAGAAGGGAAAAGGAGGGGTTTCCAACATGCTGATAACCCACAGCATGCCTTGGGAAAGGAGCGGTGGTGGGCAGCTCTGGTGGGGTCTCTCTCCCGGGACAAAAACGCTCCCAGAAGTTCTGGGAGCTGCTCGGGGGTGGTGCCGACTTTTGGCCGTGCCTCGTCCCCTGTTAGAGGCAATATTGACTTAAGGAAAGGCACGGAGCATGCTTGGCATGGGTGTTCCGAGTTAAAAATTGTCAGTCTGGGCAAACAGACCTTTGGGGTGTTCGGCAAGAAAGCCGAGTGGCTGCGCTGCGTTATCGCTGCCCCTTTGAGAACACGCTGTGACCGAGCTGCTGCTGCTCTGGGCGCCGAGCACGGGCTCGGCGGGTTGGGAGAGGCGCTGCAGGTTCTGGAGCTCGGAGCTTCAGATCAAACCCATTTCCTTCCCCTCGCTGAGGTGTTTGTAGTGCCTCAGTGAGTCAATAAGCTGTGCATGTGAGGAATGCACCTCGCAGCTGAAGGTGAGCGATTAGTGTGGCTGTGCTGCAGGTGATGAGATTAATTAGTCGTTCCCAGGCGAATTAGAGCTGCAGAAATAAGATACATGAGATATTTACTCTGAAATACCACTGTGAGGCATTTTCAGATGGGAGTGGGATCCTGCATAGGACTCTCACCACAGGACATGTGTCTTGACCTTTAATTTTGTGGCCGTGCCCAGTAAGGAGAATAAGCAGTACCTGGCAGATGTGAGGCACGTGTCCTACCAAAGGTGCTGTTCACCGGTACGAGGCACCTGAATCACCTGGGTGAGATCACAGGGCTCTCTGTGGCGCGGCTCTGCCGGGAGGAACACGGAAGTAATTTCTCTATTAAAATATAATAAATAAATTCAAAAGAGTACGAGTGTCCTAATGAGTCCATTGCCACTGAGGCAAGTCCTGCTGTGTGTCTGTATCACAGAACGGGCCAGGTTGGAAGGGATCACAGTGGGATCATTGCTCTAGCAGGGTCATCCCAGAGCACGAGGCACAGGATTGGAATATCCCCAGAGAGGGACACTCCACACTCTCTTTGGTCTGTGTTCTGCTGCTCGGTCACTGCACAGTGAAGAAGCTCTTCCTCATCTCTAGGTGGAACTTCTTGTGCACGTTTCTGCCCGTTGCTCTTGTCCTATCTCTTGGCACCTCTGAGCGGAGCCCAGGTGGCTGCAAGCCGCTGAGGAGTTAAACGCCACCGCCAGCACAGCCCAGCCCCGTGCCACGCACCGGGCGGGACCGGGACTCGAACCCTGAACCCTCGGAGCCGCAGGGCCCGCGCTGGCCGGGCGGGGGCGCGGCGGCCCCGGCGCTGCCCGGAAGCGGAAGCGCGGCCGCGGTTCCCGCCGCGGTTGCCGAGCGGCGGCCGCTCCGTCCCGTCCCGCCCGCGGCCATGAGCGCGGCCGGGCTCGTGTCCGCGCCGCCCGCAGCCCCGCCGGGGCCGCCCGCCCCCGCCATGGCCCCCGCGCCCGACTACTACGAGGAGGAGGAGCTGGAGAGCGCCGAGGAGGAGGACGGCGAGCGGAGCGCCCGGGCCCGCGACTCCGACGAGGGTGTGTGGGGAGGGGGCGGGCCGGTGCTCGGGGACGGGGAGATGGAGCGGGGGCTCTCCCGGGGGGTGTGAGGGGAGCGCTCCGTTCCGCACGGTGTTTGGGGAAGGGCTGGAGGCTTCAGGGGTTCGGGCGGCGAGAGCAGCCGAGGGAAACACGGAGCTGTCAGGGGGCAGCGGATCCCCGCGGAACAGTGAAGCAGAGAAGCCGCTGGACAGGCGGAGCTGTGGCTTCACGGGTGAGCAGGGGACAGTGGGACACGGGGGAGGGCTGGGCAGGGACTGGGTGCGACAGCAGAGGGAAAACAGCGGAGACATGCGGGGTATGGGTTCTGACTCCGTGGTGTGAACGGGGAAGGACAGAAGTGTAGCAGGGCAGGAGGATGTGACAGCGCAAGAACCAGGGAGCGACGGAGAAGAGGAAATTAAGTAAAAATTAAGTAGCCAAGAGTGCAGAGGACATAAAAAGACAGATAAGGGGAATGTGGGAGGACTCTTGGACGGTGCCTGTTACTGGCAGCCGAGCCCTCCATCCCCTCTGGTTATAGATGGGATAATATTAAACATGCAGAGGAAGACAGGGTCAGTGAGGGCTCTCCCAGCAGAGTGTGGAAATCCTTTGTGCTGGCCCAGACATTGAAGTACATTTCTTGCAGTTAAAAAACTTCTTGGTTTATCTTTGGCGCTTTAAATTTTATTTTAAGTTTAAACTATTTGTAGTTTAAGAAAAAGCAGAGAAAGGTTGGATTTAAAGGGCTGGGCTCCCCTGCCATGTGTAGGGAATTAGCTGTGGTTTAGGTTTCTCAGCTGTACCTTGTAAAGTCTGGAAGCACTTGCCCCTTGTTGGCAAGACAATGGATTCTTGGCTCCCCAGGTGTTACAAATAAAAGCCTGAAAAGTCTTAGCAGCAAACTGGCAATCCCACAGTGATTTACTTTATTTACAGTTTATATTGTTTATAAAGTGCAGCTATCTTTATGGCAGTGCTGGTATCTGAATGCTGCAGTACCAAGTGAAGTACAGGTGAGAAGTTCAGGTCCCAGGCAGTAACTGCTCCCTTTGGTGAGAGCTTTGTGGTCAGCCTGAGCAGCCCTGAGTGGGTGGAACTCCAGTAACAGGTTTGTGAAATGTCTTTCAGAGTCTTCAGGCTGTTTGTGTCTCACCTGTGTGTGAGAATTAATGTAGAGCCCCTCATCTTAAATGAGAAGAAATTCCCAGGCTGAGGTTGAAGCTGTTCATGCAAAACTCACAGTTGTAGGAACATGAGATGTTTCATTTCCCTCCTGAATTCATCTCTCAGGTTGTCTTTGATGCTAAATTGCCTGAGGTTTGGGGATTTCTTTTTTGTGTGCCTGTTTCCTTGTTTTTAAATAATTTACTACTGAGTTTGGTTTTTCTTTTCTAAATACTTTTTCAATTTAAGCAAGTTGTTTTTTGCCTTCTTTAGACACTGAGGACGCCAGTGAAACAGACCTGGCAAAGCACGAGGAGGAGGACTTTGTAGAAATGAAAGAGCAGTAAGTAACCCATTCCAAATACAAATAAGGTGATGTTCTATCTATTTGTGGGTTTAGGGATGTTTATTGCCTAAAATTTGGCAAAGTTTTGTGCCAAGATTGGGAGTTTTAAGTCCTTACCCCAGTGGAACAGCTCATGAGTCCATACACTTTTATTTCTGTTCTCCCCAGTTACTTTCTCTGTTCTATATAAATTCAAGAAATTAAGGGCTGCTGCTGTTTTAGGCAAAGAAATAATTATGAGTTCTGGGATCTGCTGCAAATGGATCCTGCTGCAGATAAATCCTTCAAATAAAATAAAGGTTCTGCTTTAGATAAGCTAAAGAAAAGTAAAATGCCTTTCCAAATGCCTTAAACAATTGAATTCTAGTCCTGAACCAGAAATGGACTTTTGGGAGACTTGAAACAGTCTGCCCTTGGTGTGTAGGAGCATTTGCAGTATTTTGAGTTCTTGGTTACTGGCAGAGACCTGTTTTTATACAGGTCAGGACAACTTGGCCAGTGTTAAACCACAGATGTGTGGTAGAAGAAGTGCAGGAATAGACTTTGATGGTTTTCTAAAATAATGTGGGGAGCTGGTACACAACTAATAAAACTTGTCATAGTGCAAGAATGATTCTGCTGTAAAGTTTCTGATGTTTGTAGATCTAAATATCATTTTAGTTTACAACAGCAACAAAAAAATCCTATTTTATCCCAAATTTTAAACCCATTTTTAAGACAGAATGAAAACCTTTCATTGGAATAAAATTCTTTAAGTTTGCGGCTCACTTGTTTCCTGAAGTTCTGAGAAGTTTTTGATTCTGTGTAAACATGTAACCTCAAGAGATGGTGCAGTAAACAATGAGTGCTTGGTGTTTAAAGTTTCCTGCTGTGCTTGCAGGATGTATCAGGACAAACTGGCATCTCTGAAGAGGCAGTTACAGCAGCTGCAGGAAGGTAAGCTTCGAAAAGTGGCTTTGGTTTTTATTTTCAGCACTTTTCAAATGTCATAGAAGGATGGGGGTTCTGGAAGATGGGAGCAGCATCTTTCACTGCATGTTGGTTTTCAGCTGTGGTGCAGAGTTAAAAATGTCACCTGCTTCCCATCTTTTCTGCATCTTAACTCCACTTTTAGTTAAGCCTCTCTGCTAAAACACTCCTTAAAAAGAGTAATCCACTTTTTGCAAAAGCAGAGAATGTGGTGCCTAACTCCTTGAGGATATTTAATACTTGGGAAAAAAAATACAATGGGAATCTACAATTTATTTCCACTAGGTACTCTTCAGGAATATCAGAAAAGGATGAAGAAGTTGGACCAGCAGTACAAAGAAAGGATAAGAAATGCAGGTGAGTGGAATTTCTCTCTAAGACACTGCAAATAACTTAAATGTGTGTTTTGTATAACACTGAAGTAAAAAAGAGGTAATTCTGTCCTTTAAAGAAAAGGAACTTGCTGGAGCTCTCAGAGTCCATGAAGCATGACAGGCTCTGCCTTGATGATTTTCTTCCCTTGATCAGCATTGTCTGCTGACTGATAAGCAGTTTTAGCCTTCATTTGTGTGAAGCAGCACAAGTAGAAAGATGATTCCATTTTTATCTAACCCACAGTGTCCCACTTTGCTTTGTTGTTTGGTGGCCCCAGCTGAAGCCTTTGGCTTCCCAGTCTCCTTCAGTTTGCAGGAGTGGGAATTAGGAGCACAGGCTTTCCCCAGGATCTGTCTGTGAACAATGAGCACAGAGCATTTGCTGCTGGAACTGTTCTTTTGCATGGAATGGGCTTCTTGGGCTTTGGGCACCGCTCTGTTTCAAGGAGCAAAGTTAATTTTTCAAGTGCCCAGTGCTTGTCCTTCTGGGTGGTTTTGTTATGTTGCTGCAGAGGAATGGCTTGGGAATCAGATCCAGCTGCTTGCCCTCTTTTTTCTTCCTTTTCCAGTAGTGCTCACCTTGAATATTGAATCAGGGCCTTTTACAGAAGGCATTGTGTGGATATAGGAAATACAGCTGCTCCTCCTTTAGCAAAAACAAACAGTTCTGTATTTCTGAAAGTGCCTGGGAAAGGGAAAGGATTTACTTGAGGAGCTGAAGTGATTTGAACAACTTCTTGTTGACAGGAACCTGTCTGCTGAGATGAATTTCACTAATGATTTAGGGTGGAAAACACCTCCAGAAAGACCTTTCATATGCACTAGGGCTGCATCCTGACAAGCCTGGGCTGTTCTGATACAATTAAGCCCCAGTGCAAACTGGTATTTCTGGCTGGCCACGAGCAGTGCTGCAGCAGCAGAGTTCTTCCACAGGAGGGCAGGTGATGATCACTTGGAATTTTATAAGTAAAAAATCCAGCTGCCTTGTACTACAGGAATAAAGCTCTTTTATGTTTGTTCTTGCCAAGCTGAGGTTTGTTAAACCAGCAGTTTCCATTTACCTGCATTTGATTATCTACATAATGCTGCTTTCATGCTTTGCAAGTAGAAAGTTTGTTTTTTATTACAGAAAACTTGATTTTTATTACAGCATTCTTATATTTGGTGTATATCTATTACTGTTCTTAATTTTTTTTTTAAATAATGGAGTAGTAGAGTGTTGCTACTACAGCCTGAACTGAATAGTGTGGAATAGTGGAAGCTTTTTGGGGTGACAATCTGTAAAAAACCTCTAGTAACAGTGTATTTTTGTGGAACTTTTTCATAGTCACTTTATTTTCAGCATAAAGCTGTGAAGTCAGAGTAGAGATTGGATAGGTACATGAATTATTTGCTTCACTGCCTGTCTTGGCTGCAATATTCAATGGCTTAAAATGTTAGGGAAGTAATTTTGTGTATCTTTGAAGGTAATAGAGTCTTTCTTGTGTTTCAGAACTGTTCCTGCAGCTGGAAGTAAGTACTCTTAATTTATCAAAAATATGCATTAATTAGATGGAAGAGGCGTAAACCTTGTTTCACCAGCCAGTATTTGGGCTTGTTTTCCCAGAAAGTTTAAAGAAATTTTCTTCCTCTGGCTGCCTTGTTGCACTTGAGATGCAGTAGAGCTTACTGCTGGTATTACCTCAAGTAACTTCTGCACTTTGTTTTTAAAATAGAATTCAATATTTGCTGTTGGGCTCTTGTACCTGGCTGTGCATTGGGCTGGTCAAAAAGGGGTGTTTAAATTGATGAGTGCTGTTTATAAATCAGCAGAGCTCTCTGCTAGGGACTGGATTTGTTGTGCAACATTAAAATGTCTTTTTACAACTCATTTTTTTGCCAATATAATAGCACTAAATGGTATTTGGATGTTTTTCTGTAGATTGTGAATATTGATAATCTTTAGAACTTGGGCCAGTTGTGAACTGAAAAGCTGATCAATAAAGCATTTCAAAAGCTGTTGTGATATCATTAACTTGAGTCCTTAATTAACCCTCTTGCTCCTTGGGTTTTGCATTAGACAGACCAGGTGGAGAAAAATTATGTGAAGGAAAAGAAAGCAGCAGCAAAGGAGTTTGAAGATAAGAAAATTGAGCTTAAGGAAAATCTGATAGCAGAGTTGGAAGAGAAGAAGAAGATGATTGAGAATGAAAAGCTAACCATGGAATTAACAGGAGGTAAAGAAGATAAGCACCTGTCATTTGTGTTATCCACTCTGCTCCTGCTTAGGAAAAGAGCTGTGAAGATGTCAGTGCTGGTTTGCACAGCTGGTGGGAAATGCCAAGGGGGGCAGAGCACGAATTGATGGCCTTTGAATGGAGACAGCAGCTCCAAATTCAGCGAATTGTTAACAGGGGAATCAAGCAGTGCCAGTGGAGCAGCAGAGGGGATGATGGCCTTGCTTACATGCAGGGAGAGAGGCTGCTTTGGTTCCCTGATGCAGCAATAAAACTGTTGAGATATCTCATAATACTGACTGAACCAGTGATGGCAGCTTGTAAAGCTGTGTCCTTTCCCTGCTGCAGGAGTGGGCGGTCAAGCAGTTGAAGAAAGCAAAAAAATAAAGGTATAAATCTGCTGCTTAAAGCCAGAAAACAAAGATTTATGGGTTACATTTGTGTCCAGGCTCTAGAAAATTTATATTAAATGGACATATTTTTTTGAGACAGTTGGTATCCCTGTGTTGTCATCTTGTTGCAGGGGTTCCATACTGTTGTCTCCTTATCACGAAAGTTCCAAACCTCCTTGGTGTTTATTGTGGGCAGCTCCTCAGAACACTGACTCTTCTTCACAAAGCAGCCACCTGACTCCAGTTCCCTTCTTAACCAGCCACCCCTCTCTTTTATAGCACTCTTCTTCTCATTGCTTACAGCTGTGGCCTGGTAAAGTCTGGCCTGTTCCTAATCTTTGATAATTGCCACAGCTGCAGCTCCTTAGGGCTAAGATTACTTTCTACACTATCCTTTGTCATCTTTTATCCCCCTACAGCCCTGTTGCCTTGCACTGCTCTGTGGTGGTGGAGCTAAGTCAGGGGTTAATTATTCCTGCAAAATTCTGTTCCTGTGGTGCTGAACCAAAAGTCTGATTTGATGTTCTTTGGGAGCAGCTCCCTCACTTTATGGACTGGTAGTGTGATTTTGTTGCTGAGGCCTGTCCATGAGTTACACCCTTCATATATTCCTTGCATAGTATTTACAGGCTTTATATTAACTAATAATGTAGTTAATACTCAGAAATGAGAATTAAACCCTGCTTTGGTGTATTAAATGGTGTTCTTGGCTTAATATAAACTCTTAGGGCTGATGTGGACTGGAAAGCATCTTGAGTTATGCTGTTTCCCTGGTAACTTTTATTTATTTATGAAATCTGGTCTCATGGACATCCTTGTTCACCCTTGAGATAAGGAGAGAAGGAATTTGGTGTATTTGGCACAGGCAGAGCTGCTCAAGGTTTTTGTGTCTAGTGGGATCCAAAGGAGCTCCCCAGATGGAAGTGCTTCCCAGGGGGTGATCCAGGGGTGCTTAGAGATGAGCCAGTAAATCTCAGCACAGAGAAAGGGAGGTGGGATGATAATTTGGCATTTATGGTGTGATCTCTTGGCTGCCAGTTCAACATATCTTGATGAATTAAGGAATGAGTTGTGAGAGTTTAGTGCAGTTGTTCAGTAAAGGTTATCTGTAGGCATTTGGACAAAATAAGTTCAGATAATTACTTGGTGATGAGACTGGTGTTTAGGTTTTTAACAGACTTTCTTTTTCCCCAGTGCATATGCTGCAGTTTACTTCCTGTCAACTGCTGCTCTGTGTGTTATTAATGAGGCTCATTTCATTAATCATTCTTAGGTAATCTGAATTTAAATACTGTTTGTTTGAAATCACTCCAGCAGACTTGTATCAGTCTTCAATGCAGAAATTTCCTCTAATCTTTTGACAAAGCTGTTTTTCTGCCTTGAAGATGAGAGAGCAATTGATTTGTAGCTGATGTTTTACATGCTATTAATGATCTGAGTTGGGCTGGGAAAGAACTCCATGAGCTTGGCCTTTTAAATCTGTTCCCAAGCAGATATGGTGAGCATGAAAGGGACTTGCCTTGAATCCTTGTAGCATCATTGTGCTGCTTATCAGTACCTGGAGCAACTGTAACCATGGCAGTGCAGTGACCTGATGGGAGAGAACTTGGATTCACTGTCAGCACTTCCATGCACACACACACACCAAAAAAAAAAAAAAAAAATTCCAATTTGCTGAATGAAAGAGGGAAGATTATTTTCCCTGTGCTTTGTATGGAAAGCTGCTGCTTCTTACTCCTTTCTCTCTGGTCTTATCAGCTCTCCAACTTCATTTCTCTGCAGATTCAATGGAAGTGAAGCCCATCATGACGAGGAAACTGAGACGGAGACCAAATGATCCAGTTCCCATCCCAGACAAGAGGAGGAAACCTGCCCCTGATATCCTTTCGTGGAGTCACTGCTGGCTTTGCAGCCCCTGTGCTACCCACACCTTGGTTGTTTTGTACAGCAAGGAAAGGGAAATGAAATGCCAGGATCAGATTTTAACCTGGGAAATAAATACAATTGTCATGTGTAATGTGTGCTAAAGCAATACCAGCAGTTATACAATTCAATATATATATATATATGTTAGAGATCCTTTGGTATCCTAATTTAATCCTTACAGTATCATGAGATAAACTGTTCTCACTGACAAAAAAAAGTTGAATTCTACAGGCAATTTATTTCACAAAAGAAAAACTTTAAAAGAACATTATATATATATATATATATATATATATATATATATGCTGAGATAATTGATTCCATAGATAGTAAATGGCTTTTTACATGAGCCAGAGCTTTTCTCATTTCAAGACGTGACAAGGCATTTACCAGAAAGATCATATTTGTCATATCCAAATAGTTTTTCCATTTCTGATAAAAGCTTCAGATCTCTAATCCAGAGATGCATAGCAAAAGCAAAGATGCTAGATTTGTTCTTTGAATAAGAAAAGATGAAGATTGATCTTGTTTTCATGATCACAAGAGACAGAAAAACATGTCTGTGTAATCCTTAGGATCTGCCTTGCTGCATGTCTCAAAATTAAAATGTTCCTTGGCTTCTGGAAATATGTTTTTAGCTCCTCTGTGATGATAGGCACTTTTTCTATTTGTGTATTAAATTCACCTGGAGAGGAAGGCAAGGATATTTGCTTTGCAGGGGTTTCTTATTAGATTCTAAACCTGTATTTCTTAGATTAAAAAAAACTTATCTGAGTGACTCTCATTTTCTGAAGGGAATATCAAACCTTGAACTTTTGGAGTTCATGCAGGATGGTCATGAGCATCTCCAGTTTCAATTAACCTCCTCCTGGTTGGAGATTCTGTTCACTCTTTCAGGAAAAAAAAAAGTCATTTATTAGTGCCCCTATCTCATCCAAAATAAATGAGTTTCATAGTGAACATGACCTGCTAATTGAGCATGATACAGCAACCACACAGTGAAAATCTCTGCCTTTGCTCACTGGGAGAGGATTAAAGTCCATCAAAACCAAAATCCTTGAAATGCAGCCCAGCAATTGTTAACTTTAGTGTAATACTTTTGGCTAAATACTTTTTATGAAGAAACAAAAGTACAGCAAAGCTCTAATAAGACTGTAATACACTAATTTCTATTTTCAGAGGTTTTGGGTTTGTTTTCAGGTGCATTGTAGGCTCTTATTGATCTCCAATCACACAAAGTTTTATTTAACTAGGTTTAGGTGGGATTTAGCTTCATTATAGGAAACCTGGAGTGAGTCTTGTTTCAGCTCACAGATTCTTCTCCATAGAAATAAAAGATGAAAACCACTGAAAATGCTGGTGCTTGATGCTTCCATGAAGTAAATGTCAGTGCACTAAAGGTTTTTCATTGGTGGTTGTGTCTGAATAAGTTAAAATGATTTTGCACTCTGCTGCTAAGATGGTGGGGATGGACTTGTATTAATTCCTCTGACAAAAAAACCAGCTCAAGTAAGACATTTATTAAAATCCTGGAAACCTTTTGGCTTACATTTACTCAAGTGAAATGTCACTGACCTTTAATTTTTAGCCTTGCTTGTCAAGAGTGATGGAAACCTTAATTCTGGATACCTCAGCTAAATTATTTGTTGACTGATGAGCAAATAATGGAGGACCTAAGAACGCTGAATAAGGTAGGGATTGTTGCTTGACTGTATTTCTTCATTTTCAAGAGAAGGTAAATGCTTTCTCCTGAAGGGAACAGAGCTCTCTTTAATGTTCATTTTTGAGATATGGCACTATTTCATCCCTGTAGGCTTTCTGAAGTAGCACAAGAAAAGATTGAGCAAGATGGTATCTCCTCTTTATTACTGAGGTTTAATTAACCTAATTTAAATGACTGTCACCTAAAAATGTTACCTTTTGTGGGAACCAAGGGATGAGCTGTGTTAAGGAGTTTCTTCCTCATGGCTGAGCAGATGTCAGTGTGTTTTTTGGGAGATCACAGGCTGCCTTTGGTTTAAGCCTTAGTGTGGGGTAGGATTTTTTTTCATTAATTTTTTTCTCCCTGCTGTCAAAAAAGATTTCAGCAAGCTGGATAGGGGGCAGTGTGCATGCTTATAATTTTTTCTGGGTTTGATTAACATATTGTTTTCTTGCTGAACACTTGAAGACTTATCTAATTTCTTAGAATATAAGCTGCTCATTAAGGCATTTTGAGGATGGTAGTGGAACATTGGTTTTGTGCCAGCTGTTGAGGTTTCTCTAATGATTTAGCTCCTGTATTTTGTGTACCCTGAGAAATGTTGTATCACATTCAAAAATAGATGGGTTTGACTCATTGGACTGGGTTGGCTGAATGCTCTCAAGTTGTTTTTTTGGCCTTTTGGATCATTATTCTGATTATCTGCACCTTTGGCTGTTTAGAGCACACTGGTTCTGTGTTATGCCACTTAACAAAGCATTTAAAATAGAAATACACAGAGTGTGGAAAGTAAGATATCTGAAGTTATCAGTGCAGCTTCTGTGGCTCCTGTCAGATCTCTAACACTGCTTTCTTCTCTTCCCATGTAGCTTAAATCACCCAAGAGACCAGGTGAGTTACAGATGCAGTGGAACTGGTTCATGGGGGGCTGCTCTGAGCAGAGAATGGCACTGCAGATGTTTGGCTGTGCAATAATTGCTGCTCTTTGTGTGGTGCTGGTGTTTGTCAGGGATGGGAGGGGGGTATGAGCATCTTTGGTGGCTGGAACAGCTGGAAAAAAGAAATTTTCCATTATATTCAGGTGCATCTGGGCACCTTGTCTGTTTGTCAGCTCCATTGAGGGATTGACCTTATGTTAAGGTGCCTTAACATAAGGTCAATGTTTTGCCTTCAGCTCTCTAGATGTGCCTATACACTTTATTTCAAGACAGAGTGGGACTAACTTGCCTCAGTAACTTTAACCATATTTAACTAATTCAATGTGGATTATAACTAAAACAAAATCAAGGGCATACTGTCCATCACTTACCCATGAATGTTTTTTCACATAAATGCTGTATTTCAGTGAATATTATAATTCAAGGCAGAGGTCAAGTTACTCATCACAATATATAATATTTTCCTGATGGATATTTGAATTTGCAGCTTTCTCTGCTTGCTATTTCTGCACACACAACCTTATTAACTGCAGTTTTGCAGTCAGATGTGCTCCTGTGAGATGGGCATGTGCTGATCTTTAACCAGAGTGTCTGTGCTGTCCCCAGCCTCCCCCTCCTCTCCTGAGCACCTCCCAGCAACACCAGCAGAGTCTCCAGCACAGAGGTTTGAAGCTCGGATAGAAGACGGCAAGCTCTACTATGACAAGAGATGGTGAGGCCTGGGGAGGTTTTGTTTCCATCAGTTTGTGTTGTGTTGTGAGGAGGCAGAGGCTGCAGGGAGAAATGGCTTTGAGCAAAGAATAGGTGGACAAAGTGCTTTAGGGCAGAGGTTTGCTGTTCCCTCCACAATCTCATCATGGGCCCAGCAAAGCAGAGGGGATGATGGAATGTTCACACCCTGCAGGCTTTCAGAGATAACTGCTGTCTCCAATAAAAGGGGACTGGAATCTTGTCCATGGCCCACTGTGGCACTTAGGAAGTCAAACCTAATAAGAGTAGGAGAGGCAGCAGCAGCCACAGTGGGATGTGACTGAAGCTGCCCAGTTTGGACACAGACACTCCATGATTTGCTGTCAGCAACACTCCCATTTCTGAGCTTCAGATTTGTGCCCAGCACTCCACAAGGTGGCAGAAGAAATGTCATCCAGCAGCTGCTCAGGATGAAAGATGCTTCTAATAAATCCAAATAACCTTTAAAGATCAAACCCACCTGGGAGAGGCAACTTCAGAATTGCTGATTGGATTTATCTCTGTTGAGTTTTATGGCCATACAGCTGTACAAGCCTCACAAAACACAAGGAAAATATTAAATTTCTGCAGAGGAAACTTAGATCTTACACTTAATCCATGAGACTTGCAAACCTGGATAATCAAGAGGGCAATCTTGAACTTGAGCAGAAAACAATTTACTCTCAAAAAGTCATCTGCTTATTTGTAGCCTACTTCAGTGTTCTGGTGGCTCAAAACAAGTGATGAGGCTGTAATTTTATCACAGAAGTAGGTGTGAAGCTGGTTTTTTTATACAGCAATCCCCTTGGCCAGCTGGTCAGTTTTTCTTTCTGCCTGAAGTTTAATTGAGAGTTCAGTGTACACAGCTCTCATAAAAGCTGCTCCCTCAGTTTAAACATTCATGAAGAGTAAAGCAGATAGGAATTGAACAGGCTACTTATTCCACAGATTCATCAAGGTTTTTAGAGGTTTTTTTTTGGTTTTATAATTTTTTGTGTGTGTAAAGTGACTGTCCCCAGGATATATTTGGATGAAGATACTCTTCTTAGAATTTTGAAGCATATGGAGTACTTGAAAAGTGTTCATGAGTAAAAAAAGAAAGGGGAAAAAAAAGACATCTGAAGTTATCTGTCAGTAAAGCTCAAAACTTCTCATTAAATTTAAACCTGGAAGAGCTTCAGTGAGCCCAGAGCCTCAGCAAAGCACCAGCTCTCTCTGAAGGGTATCTGGCTGTGGCATGAAGCACTAAACAGATATTTTCACCTTGCTGAATTCACCTGTCATAGGGGTCTTGCTGTCAGGAATTCCAGCTGTTGTTTTTTCTGGCTGCCTTGTTCTTATGCTGTTTTTAGATCAGTATCTTAGATTTTTTGGTTGAAATAATCCTGCTTAGATATTTTTGATTGATAACAAGTAATAGTACTTGTGCAAAGTAGCTGCTGTTTTAAAATAATGAAGTAACTGAGTTGGTAGTGGGAGGGTAATTCTTCTTAAGGTGCATAAAGGATGCTGGCATGCACAGAAATCCTAAACCTGACAGCCCAGGAATGACTTTCTCTGTTTCTTGATGCAGCCCTGCATGACAATTACCTGAAAACAGGGAATGTTTAATGCCAGTAATGAACCCCCTGAAGTCTTGCAGAGACATTTCAGACATCTCCAGAGTGGAGTGTTTCAGGTGAATGTGGAATTAGGCTCAGTTTTTTAATGCTCAGAGCTCTGTGCTCCCCCATCAAATCCTAAACCACAGTTCACTGTAAAGCAGCCATATTTGCTGCATACAATAATGCTGAGGGATTTCCTTCAATCTTCTGATGAAGTTGCAGTTGGAAATCTTGGCCTTCAGTAAAATACTTTATAGCAGGAAATGGAATTCTTTCTGCTTGCCTCACTTGGTGTTTTACCTACTGCAACAGTGAGAGTTGTTTGGCTCTGCTTTCTTGAAAGCCAACTTAAAACCCTATTGCATTTTTCATCTGAGGTAATTTCCTCAGTCCTGTCCCTCTGTGGATATATAAATTTGGCAAAAGGGTGGGACATTGTGACCGTGTTCACAGGGGTCTTAGGATGAGGATCTGACTCCATGTTTCAGAAGGCTTGATTTATTATTTTTTGGTATATATTATATTAAAACTATACTAAAAGAATAGAAGAAAAGGCTTCATCAGAAAGCTGGCTAAGAATAGAAAAAAAAAAAGAATGATAACAAAAGTTTGTGTCTTGGACAGAGTCCAAGCCAGCTGACTGTGATTGGCCATTAATTAGAAACAACCACATCAGACCAATCACAGATGCACCTGTTGCATTCCACAGCAGCAGATAATCATTGTTTACATTTTGTTCCTGAGGCCTCTCAGCTTCTCAGGAGGAAAAATCCTAAGGAAAGGATTTTTCATAAAAGATGTCTGTGACAGGACATGACCAGGGAACTGATGCACCAGAGTGTGCCTCCAGCTGCCCTGTCTCTGTGAGTGTGAGACAGGTGAGACAGCTCTTCAGTGAAACACTGCTGACTTGGCTCTCTGCCTTTTCTGGGCACAATTAGCATTAATTTATTGATGCAGAGTCTTTCATGGTGTGAAATCCAAGGGCTGAATGAAGCCTCTGACATGTGTGTTATCAGCTTTGGAATTCACTGCTAATCAGAAATTGCAAGTGGGGGAAATATTTCCTTGTCTGTGTGGGCACAGCCAACACTTGAGAGCTGTTGTTTGCCCTGGCTTCTCCTGCACTTCTGCTGATTGTATCAAGATCAAAACTCTTGCTTAACTACTCCCAGCATGGCATGGTAGGGCACTGCTGGACTGAGATTCTTGTCTCATCTTAGTGAGGCCTGGGTTTGCAGCAGCTTATTGAGTTCCTCTGTATCATTTAATGACATCTGCACTTGCTAAACTGAGATTTTTTTTTTTTTTGGCTCAGATCATTGTTGCTTTCCATTGCCCTGGAACCCACTGACATTGTTTCTGTCAAAATGAGGGAGAAGGACACCTGTGTCCAGCCATTGTTTTAAAGGTTGCAGGATTTGGGGATTTTTCCTTCCCTCACCCCTCCATGGGTAATGAGTGTGTTTGGAAGGCTCAAAGCTGACACTCATTCCAGCTGCTGGCAAGCACTGTGAAAATTCTGAGTGCAGAATTTTCCAGTAGGAAGAGATTGTGGAATAAACCATTGGAAGACTTCCACATGTACAATGTGGTTATTGTAGAAATAACTGTAAAGTTTCAATAAATCCATGCATTTTGCAAATGGCAGTCAGGCTGCAGGAGGTTCCACTGGGTGGCCACTGAGGGAATATCTGTGCAGGGAATCTGCAGCTTGGATTGCCCAGATAAAATCATGATTAGGAGAAAGGTGGAAATACAGTCATGCTTTTATAGCTGTAAAGTATTTTGGTGCTTGCTTGATTAAGATGATTTACTTACAAATCACCTGTTCCAATGTAATTAGTTCTGCCTATGGAAGAGAATGAGGCAGAATGAACAGAAAGTGGAGGTTTGGGGCTGGCACACTGCAGCACTTGGAGAAATGTGAGCTGTAAATAGGGGAGTCCACAGAATCAAATTCAGAGTTAGGAATTTCAAAGTCTTTGTTTTATACACAACGCATTAAGAACAATATAGAGCTTAAAATATGATCTGAAATGGATATGTTTAGTCATGGACTCCTTATGGCAGATATTTACAGCTCATTACAGAGTCAGTTACCCATTAGTTACCATTTTGGGTATTTTCACACAATAGGACAGCATTAGAAAATTGAGGTCTCATTAAACAATGCACAGACTGCACTGATTGAGGGTAATTCACTTTTGGTGGTGGTGGTGCTCTGGTAATTCTGTATTGGGGAACAGCTTGAGTATCTGTGATTTGCTCTGTTATATTTTGTCAGGCAAAATAAGGAGTTGCCTTCTGAAATCCATCCTGAGTCTGGAATGGGAAAGGTGCTTGGATTAACCCTTGAAGGCTGGGTGTGTTGTCAGTCACTGTTCCCCTGGCCTGTGGCTCTGCCTCTCCCCTTGCAGTTGTGAAATCTGTTTTTAGTACCCTTCAGTGCAGAGTTGAATGTGAGTTAAGACTCTCCTGCATTTCAAATATCCTTAACTCCTGCATTTCAAATATCCTTAATGTAGGATGTGTGTGTGTGATCAGATCACCACTATCTTGCAAAAATAGAGAAGGTGGTGTGGGAAAAAAAGGCAGACTTCAAATTTACTCTGTCCAGCTTTATCAATAGTGGATTCATGCATTTCCTTTTTTTGTTTTCCCTTTTGCAGGTATCACAAGAGCCAAGCTATTTACCTGGAGTCGAAAGAGAACACAAAGATCAGCTGTGTGATCAGTTCTGTGGGAGCCAACGAGGTTGTGGCTGCTTTTATTTGTCAGCAGAGGGGGGAGAGACAGGGGTTTAGTAAGGGCTGAAGATAGATACCTGTCTGGGCTGTAAAGAAAGCTGAAGCTAAGATAAAACTGACTTGAGAAATCTCTTTTTGAGCTGGGAAGAGACTGGGTTTGTTTCTGAAGGATAATTCAGTGTTTTGCAAGCTCCTGCAGCAGTTGGGCAAAGGGAGCACTTTGGTTTTTGCTTGCAGATTCCAGACACTTCAGGGAAAGAAATAATAGATTTGAGTGCACTTCTCCTTAATCAGCCAATAAAGGAACTTTAATTTGTTGTGGCAGCTAAGGGAAAACACTTTATTTTCCCCAGAATGAGTTGCATGTGAGACCTGTTTGTGTCACAGCTGTTCCCTTGCAGTGGCAGTTGTGGCACTCTGTTGTTCAGATAAAAGCAGTGGTAGTGTGCTTATGGGTGCACTAAAATTTGTTAAAAGTTATTATTGTAATTTAGCAAAACTAATGTATCCTTCCATCCTACTGTGGTAGAATATAAAATTGTACATGTTTGTTTGCTACAGTTGCTCAAACTTTATGGATTTTTGAATTATTTTGGCAAGCAAAACATGCCAAATCCTTGGAAATGTTGCAGTTGGGAGATGATTATCAATGAATGTTGATTTTAATTTCTCTGGAGAAATAATTGAAGTAGAAATCCAGGCAAATACTAAATTCATTTTATGCTAAGGGGTCCTGTTTATAAAGTCAATTTATAACTAAAATAATAGAGTTAAATCAATTTACCTGCTAGGCCTGTAACTAATATATGAAGAAAAAAAAGTTCAGGGTAAATCACAGGCCAGCATAACTTTATAATCCATTGCATTTGGTAATATTGGACTTCCCTCCTAAAATACTGCAGTACTAAGGAGTGGATAATTCTTACTCAGTGTATTTATTTAAATATGTTGAAATGCATTAGGAGGATATAATGCAGAGGAAATTGCTCAGACTTGATTTTTAAAGTACAGGTTTTTAGATCTAAACACCTTGAAGGTGATTTCAAAAACTCTCTGGAGTGGCTGCCTTGGTGGCAGCAATTTGTCTCGTGGCACGTGGTGTGAATCCTTCCATGCAGGTGCTTAAAGGAGAGGCCCTTTTATCTCCAGACACAATTTCTGTGCTACATGGTGGGAAATGCTTCGTGGAACAGAATCAGAATAAGCTTTTCATTTGACTAATAGTTACTTGTCTGGGTAAATCCCAGGATAGATAATTTTATCATCTGTGGATCTAGAGAGACTTAGTCTTGATTAGGCAAAGCTCAGTGCCACGGCTCTGTTGTGAGCTGTGGCAGGAGGAACCTGCTTTCCTGATGGTGCTTGAAAGAGTCATTTTTCTCGAGGACTGTTTTGAGCAGGAAGTTAAGGAGGTGAATTTAGACACCTTGTTTCATTTTCTACTCAGGTTGCAAATGCCTCACCTGGGGAGGGAGAGGGGATTAACCTCATTGATCTGTGCCCCCTGAGGGGCTCAACTCCGACACTAAGACACCGAGTTAATTTGTCTGTGTGCTGCTTGCTGTGAGTTTTCCCTTTTTCTCCCCTGATTCATCTCCCTGCCCCTTTGTTTCTGCCCTTGCTCTCCTGCAGATCTGGGTGAGGAAAACCAGCGACAGCACCAAGATGAGGATCTACCTGGGGCAGCTGCAGCGGGGCGTGTTCGTGATCCGCCGGCGCTCGGCCACCTGACCCTGCTCTGCCCTGTCCTGGTTTCTGTCACATCACCAAACCTCTGCCAGGGGCTCACAGGCTGCTCACTCCTCCCTGCAGCAGGGAACAGTCCTGACCTCTGACAAGACACTTTGTGGCTGGCCACATGATCCCCAGTAGTCCTTAAACCTTTAGTGATGCCCAAGCACTGCCCTGGACTATTTCTGGATTTTGCATCAAGCTTCTGTACGCTCTCTCTTTGTATTTTGGGTGACTGTTTGAGAAGACTTGGCATCATCCTCCTTTTTGTTGTTGTTTTGTGGTGCACAGATGGGACTCTTGTGTCAAAAACATCATCATCATGTTTCTGTTGGGAGTCAGACCAGTGGAAGAAGCTTTGCTTGTCGAGGCCTGAGGTTATTTGTGCTTTTTTGGCCTTGTTTTCCTGCAAGGCTCAGGATTTTGGGCAAAAGATGAATCCTGCCAGGTTTCAGCTGCAGCTGAGAGATGCCTCCAGAATATCTGGTGTACAACATCAGCTTTATTGGATGGACTGTTGAAAGACTGGAGACTTTTTTAGGATGGTGGGAACAGCTCAGAAGCTGCTGAAATACAATGATTTTAATGTAGCTCAGAGTCACGCGTGGTTAGTCAGAAGCTTCCGTTTCTCTTCACATTAAAAACTCCTTCAATGAACAAGCAGAGTATGTCTGTTTGCTGATCTAATTAGCTGGGATAGGTGGATGACTAAATTAAAGGACTAATTACCTGGATTTTGCAGATAGCAAGGCTGTATGAACTCTGTGTGTGTCTGTAACCACTCAGAGATGTAAAGAGGCAAACGATCAATTTCACTTTTTCCACTGATGCTCAGAATCACAGGTTATGGTGGGATCCTGCTGACAGGAGATCTGTAATATCCTCCCAAGGATCCTGGCACAGAGTAGGAAGCGGCCTTGTCATGCTGTTAGCTGGAGCCTTCATTTCCTGAGATGTTCTTCAAAGAGCTTCTCTTGAGGGCTGTTTTAATTGCTGGAGGTAACACTGGGTTTCTACACTTGCCCTCCTGCAGCACAAGTGAAAATGCCCAAATAATGACATTAAGGTGCTCCCTAGGTGATTAAAGATCTGCCTCTGGCATTCCTTTATTATTCCCAGTCCTTTGCTGATGGCTGGAAGCACCAATGCCATGTGTGACTGCCTTGGCAGGAGCCACATGGTGCCCTGGCAGTGCTGTCACATCTCCACCTTCTGTGCAGAACAACTCAGTGCTCCTTTTGATTACTAGTCAAAAAGTTGTAATTCCTGCCTTTCTCAATCTCTCTTACTTTGAAGCATCTTTTGAGGTTTTGCTTTTGAGCTGCCTTCCTGTTAACACCCATCCAGCCCTGCCTTTCTTTGGTGTGTGGATCAGTGCAGTCCAGGGAAAGGAGTTGCAAGGGCTGTGCCCATCCTTTCCTGCAGTTGGGTGGCAGTCACATCCCAAAAACTGCTGCCTCTACGTGGGTCTGGAGTGGAGTGTGATGGCTGAGCTCCTGATGTGACTGAGACACCTGACTTGATTTTTGCTGAGTTTTGAGGATCTGGAGCTCTGGCAAGGCAGGAGAGGGTGTTTCCCACCCTTGACAATGTGCCATCCCTGCTGCAGCTTAGGCAGCCAAATGCAGCAGGCTGGATTTTGTCAAGTTAACAGCTTACTTAATATAACTTAACATTCTCTGCACATGTCACAGGTTTTTGATAAGGTGATGATGTACCAGGCAGGATTTGTCACTGAGTCTTTAAATGAACATCGTTCTAATAATAAAAAGTGCTGAGGAAGTAGCAGGGTTTATTTCCTCTCTCTATCACTTTATCAATACATATATTTGTGGGAATTGCTGGTGACTTGTGCTCAGTGTTGGGGAGGTGCTTTGCCAGCAGCAGCCATCTGCTGCTGTGGTGTTCCCTGTTCTGGGGGAATTTTGGGAGTTAACAGAAGTGTGGGATGTCAGTGTGTGTGGGACAGGAGAGGGGCTCCATGAACCTGTGGTCAATCAGGGCAAACCCCAATCTCAAACTCTTCCACACCAATCTTATGCCTCCAGGAGGGATGTGAGAGGTTTGTACAACTTCCTCCTATCAGAATTCCTTGCCAGTTTTCCCAGTGCCCATGGGTCAGCCTTTGAACTGGTAATTTCTGCTTCTGGCAGCCCTCAGGGGTTGTGCTGCTGCAAATGGCTCAAACTTAACTGCTACACTGAAGGAATTTTGTTTATAGGCTGCTTCATCCTCAGTTTCTTAATGAAATGAAAGTCTGCCTTGCCTCTGTTGATCACCATAAAGAGTGGATGTGTCTCACAGAGTACGTGAATATTGTATCCTGGATTTTTTATCCTGGCAGGCTGTTCTGTAATGGCCTGAGCCATTTGTGAGGCTGAAGTGATAAAGTGCAGTGCCTTGCTGTGCACTCAGGGAAGCAAGTGCATTTTTTTTTTCTTTTTTTTAATCCTTAAAGGATGCACAAGTAGTTCTGTGGTGAGGATGAGGCATGTGGAGATCAGAGTGGAGGCATCAGCTGTAGAACTGAAGATTTCCTGCCACGGGTTGGAAAAAGAGAGACAAGTTACTCAAGGAGATGGACAAGGTCTTGCTTGAATTCTAGGAGAAAATTGGCTTTTCTGTCTGCTCTTTGCCTGCTTATCATCAGTCTTGAAGGATCCCAACCCTCTGAACAGAAACAGCTTTGCTGCAGGTATGAAACAATTTAATCCTCATTATGAACAGCATTCAAAGCAAATTCAGGAAATGGCTTTAACTCGTCATTACAGTAATTTTAAAGAAAGGTGAACCTTCTGCCAAAAATAGACTTTTATTGAGGGTTAAATTGCAGTTGGCTGAGTCATATTAAGCTTTTCTGTTTTTTATTGCCTTGAGAAATGGACTGTGATGTTGATATGTGCAAAATAAAAAAGACATTCCCCCCCAGCCATTAGATGTTCCAATGGAAGGAGGCCAGATCAGGGAGCCAACTTCCAGGGGTTTTGTGACATCATTCTCAACAGAAAAGTTTTCAAAAAGGCTTTTTCCAAGGACAAATGGTAATATACAAAATTGGCTTTTTTAGTTTATGTGCTCTGCCTGGAATTTTGTAAAGAGACAAAGGGATTTAATGACAGAAACTTTAATTGTTTGCCTTGTTTTTTGTAAATTTCTGGGGAACTTAAAGAAAATAAAGGCTAAAAGAGCAAAGAATAGCTTTGTGGATAACTGAGATTCTTCCTCCGTCAGAAAAAAGGAAAAGCAGCATTTGTGTTCTTGTTCCACAGAAGCAAACACTGAAATATTCAGAAATTCTCAATGGGTGTCTAAGGTGTGCTGTTACTATTTTTAGTTTGTCCAATTCTAAAGGTAAGAATTTAATACACAGTGAGGTATTTAGAAAACACAAGAATGCATATTTCTATTTGTCTATGATTTATTGAAAACCTGTCATCACTGAAACCTCAAATTTCATACAGTTAAAGAATTCCACTATTGTAATGTTTTGCTGAATGTGGTAAACTCCTTTAATATTTAACATCAGCTGAAACTTTGGGGATGCCAAAACATCTTGTAATACTTAAGTGCCTATCACTTTACAGTGGAGTAATTCTGTTTATTTAGATTCCTCCTTTTTAAGCAAGACTGCCTTTCTGTAAAATATTGATTTCAATTTTTAAATAGGCATGAAAAACAGCTTGGGTTTATGAAAACCAAAACCTCCCCAAAATATTTGGGGATTTTTTTCCCTCCAATGTGATGTTAATAAATAAGCAGAAGGGGGAGAGTGGCTCAAAGAAGCCTTGGGACCAACATTAAAATAACATTTAGGTGACAACAGAAGTGCTAAATATTCTCCATGGTGTATATCTAAACAGGATGGGTGTCTCACCTCCCCTCACATAATTAAAATGCTGAACAGCAGCACAGGAAGAGTTACTTAAGCCTTTGGTTCTAAAATAGCAATGCTCTGAGCAAAGCCAGGCATTTGTAGGGCTTTGGAACCGAGAGCTGTAACCCACGGGAAGCAGCTGCTGATTTATTCCATCAATCTCACATTTGAAAGCTATCAGTTCTCTGGATGCCTCAGGTAGCTTTGTCATTTTTCATTTAGTTCTAATTTGCATCCCCATGTTCTGCCCTGAATCCTGAGAGGGGGGGGGGGGAGAAAAGGCAGAGTAATGATAAAATGTACATTTTTCATTTCACTTTATTAAGGTTCCTCATTTTTATTGAATTCAGGATTCTTTGGAGGGTGGTCACTGCCTGCAGATCTCTGCAGGTTTAATGGCCAGCCCAGGTCATGAGAGCTAACAAGCTTTAACAAAAAATAACTACAAATGCAAATCCAGGGGGGAAATTGGTATCTTCAGTCAAGGTTTCTGCTTGGTGGTTTCAATCCTGTTTGGAATTGGTGACTGAAGGGTTTTTAAGTGAACAGTCTGGTGCCACTGGCTCACACAGGTTTGGAGGACAGGCTCAGGACACATGGATGTCTGCTGCCATCATTAAATGAGGAGGTAAGTCAAGTTTTTTGTTTGTTTTGGGCTTTTACCTTTTTTTTTTCCAGGTTGTTTGATAAATGATTGATTTCTGTCACACAGTTGAAGGCAGCTGCTGATCATGTCAAGTTCCTGTTAACACTGAAAAATTACTCATTCTGGAGAAGAAACAGCCTTTTGCCCTGATCTAAAATTTAGCAACACTGCCTAATGGCCACAGGAATATCTTTTTTCTGATGTGATTAGAGAAGAAACATTCCAAACCTCACACATCATGAGGCATCACGGAATGGGGAAGGCTCTGAATACTGATGATGCTAAATCATGTAAAGCAGTTGCACAAAATGAGTGGAAAAGCAGGAGGCAAAGATTCTGCTGGGAAGGATTTCTGGGGTGGTAAAAAAGTCTCATCCATTGAGACTGGGAATTGTTAAAACAATTGGTTCAAGGCTGTGTGGAAAACTGAGAAATAAAGGAGAGTTTGACCTGGAACATGGGATGCTCAGTCTGTAATGGGATCTCAGCATTAGAATATTGATTAGGTCTCATTTTGGACCAAGCCTGGAGTTTTGCAGTCCAGGAAAGGGAAATAAAACATGGCAGGGTTGTTACCAGCCCTGCCTCAGCCTCTTGGTCTTGTCCTCCCCTGAGAGAATTCCAAACCATAGGTTTGTTTCCTCTTCCATTGAAATAACAGTTCTGGGAAGAGCTTTGAAAGTCTGGATGAAATACAGAAATGCAGTTTCTGTCCCCTGAAGATGATAAACCCTTCTCTGTTCCAAGGAAGGGACAATTGGTGGCAATCCAGTGAGTGGCTCTGCCACAACAGAGCTTTGCTCCTGGAGGATTTCATCCATCTGAGGAGACACAGGTTCTTGCGTACCATGAAGGGGAGTATTTACAGATATTTTGGGCTGCAAAGCTGCGGTTTTTGTGCTCTCATACCTGGGCTGCTTGTGTGGTCTGGGCAAGGGAAGTGGAGTGTGGGAGGCAGATCCTGGACTGCCCTTGGAGGGAATCATGGAATTGCAGAATGGTTTGGATTGGAAGGGACCTTAAAAATCATCTTCCAACCCCTGCCATGGGCAAGGATACTTTCCAGTAAGCCCCAATGTCCCACCTGGCCTTGGACACTGCCAGGGCTTCCATGGGAATCTGTGCCAGGGCCTCAGCAGTGCAGTGAGGAGTGTCTGGAGCAGTGAGCAGGGCTGGGCACCTCTCAGTGCTAATCTGGCTTTCTCAGAGAAGTTTGAAGGTTTTGTGTGCTCTGAAATCCCATGAGGGATGCAGTAGGATGTGCTGGCTCCCCCAGTGCTGATTCCCTGGGGGGAAATCTCATCCGTGTGCCTTGAAATGGATGTGAACAGCCTCAAACACTGGCTGCGGCCTTCCTGAGGCCTGCAGTGCCTCTTTATCTTGTCATCCAAGCAAAGGTATCAATAACCCACGCAGCCTCTGAGCAGAGGGGTTCCTCCCCATCCATCCTGCCTGGCAGGTGCTCCATCTCGATTACGCCTCAGCTCTGCTCCATCTGTCATGTTCCTGGCCTGGATGACAGAGCAGGAAGGTGCTGCTGGTGGGAGCGTTTCCTGCCTGCCTAATGGGGCTGTAATTAATGGCTGCAGCCAGCCAGCCAGCCGAGCAGAGGCACCAGGCCTCTCCTTCAGCCACCCAACCGTGCCGTGTTACACACCCTGCTCCATGGTGGTGCTGCAGTTTTACATAAATTCTGAGGTATTGCTATGTTTAATTAATGTCTCATGGTGAACCTTTTTGCTGCTTCTGCAGCCTTTTATTGCCAAGTACCTGGCTGGGTGGAAGTGGTACCTCAGATGAAGGGGAATGTGCTGCAGGGCCAGGCAGGCTCTGGGTACGTGGCCTGTCACTGACTCAGAGGTGTCCCAGCCCTCCCTGCTCGTCACTTGTTCGCTCAGCGAGCTGTGCTGCAGGGACAATCTCAAAAATGGGACTGTTCAAGAGGCTGCTTTGGCTCTCACCCTGCTTCCCCCCTTGTCTCCTTTGGGAGCAGACATGTCATGAGGGCCTGCTGGAAGGCAAGGCCGAGAGGGTGAGCTTTGCTGTCTGGGGGTTTAACCCAGCCATCATCACCACCATCAGAGCACATGGAGAGCCTCACTGTCCATTGAATATTGGGATTTTTACCGTCTGTGTTTTTGGAATCTCACCCCTGGCACGACCTGGCTGAGGTGTCCCTCAGTGCCCCAGCCAAAGCTAAATTTGGCAGCCATTAACTGGCTTGATGAGCCTCTCAAATGGCTTTGGAGAGGAGCACAGGCTCCT